AGCTCGGTGGGCGGGGTTCGGTCGCTAGCTCCATTCGCTGGCGAGCGACGACGGGGCGAGTGGGTTCCTCGACGACGGCTGCTATAGTTAGCAAAAGAAAACATTAATTAATTAAAAATAGATCCAGGAAAGGCGAAGACTTCATCTTATCTAAACAGCTTTTTAAATCCAAATAAAATCTCTATCGACAGAATGTTTAAATTAATTCTACGTATCCTTATGTTTATCACTTTAAATGGGTATTTAAATTTATGCGCTTTAAAGGGATTAAGATAATGAAAACCAAATTTCTCTTTATATAAGTATATATAAGGGGGTGAAATTTACGAAGTTAATCGAGAACATTTTACTATTTAAATAGTATGAAGTGCTTAAAATCACTTAATAGTTAAAATGAATTTCTTTAAATACCATTAATTTTAAGCTGATTCTTAATGACGGAATTACAATTATTAAGAGAGGGTAATAAATAAATAGAAAGACCAGAACTTTGTTGCATATGATCTCAACTCACTTCCTGTCCTTTGAGCGGGAATGACTGCGCTTGCGTTCACGGATCGGACTCAGCCGTTTGCGCTGCTGTTCGCGGGAGCGACTGCGACGGCGTTTATCCCGGGATCGATCCGGCAGCATGGGCTTGGTGCTGCTGCCGCCACGTCGATCCCGTGAGCGTCGGTCCCTGTCACGATCGCCGCCACCATGGCGAATGCGACGATCATCGACTCCTCCGCCACGCTCTTCCCTCGATCGACTGCGACGAGTCCTGTCGCGTTCACGTTCGCGATCCCGCTCCCGATCTCGATCACCACCGCCTTCTCTGCGTCGATCCCGGTCGCCTCCTTCGCGGTGTCGGTCGCGTTCTTTATCCTTGTCCCTTTGACTGCTGCGTTCACTGCCGCGATCTCGCCGGGATTTGGCATCCCGTGAGCCGCTTCTGCTTCTGCGAAAGTGAAAAAGTGGGTGTGAGTTAGATGGAGTATCAGTACGAACACTATAAGCCAGATAGAAATATAAGTAGTAGAATAGTAATTATGTATTTTGTTAATACATTTATATACCTTATTTAGTGGTTTAAAAAATCTAGTCTTCTGTGGCAACCTGATAATGATTAAAATGGTTTTAGGAAGAATAGAAATTCGACTCTAAATATGGTAGTCTATGTTGTGGACAAACCACTCAGTTCGGAAATCAACTAGCCAAGAATATATTAATCTATGTTTACATTTCTTTCTAGTTGTGGTTAGTACAGATTGTTCCTAGTTTGCCATATCTTAGGGGTAAAATGTTAGGATCCTTAAATAGTTGTTTTCACTTACCGGGACCGTTTGCTTTTCTTATTGTGTGAGCTTCCTCCATTCCTTGGACCATTCTCGGTGAAGTCGTCGTCGTGACCTCCGCCGCCGGGACTGCTGCCGCTGCGCCTGCGTCCACCACGTCCACCGCTGCCCGCACTGACATTCTACACAGATAGGTGTTTTGTTTGTTTTTGTGGATTGGGTGTGGGAGTGGACAGGGAGGATGGGTTGGGTCGGGCGCAAGCAATAATGTAGATACAGATAAGTGGATTATTTTTTTGTCGATCGGTTTCAGTTTTTTGTTTTTTGGTGGGTGGGAACACATAACGGGTGTTGATAGTTCGTTACGTTGTTGTCGTTGTTGAGATGTTGGTTGATTTTCGATTATATCATTTGAGTTTGTTATGATATATTATTTTTCAGTTTCGTAAATATTTTTTTTTTTTGAATAAGAGAAAGCAAATCAAAGTAAATTAGTTAAATTTTTGGCATCTGCAAGTATATAAAGTAGAAATGCTTAAGTCAACAATGATCATTTGGGGATCATTGCCAATTTTTAGCAAGGTAGTAATAAGGATAATAGGTATAGATATTGCTTATACGTAGTTTTGGTAAATATATCATATATGGCACACACACAGATGGTTCACGACGGCGAGAAATGTTGTCTCCACATGGGCAAATTTCTCATGCTCATTCTCATTCTCAATCAGTTCAGTTTTGGGGGAATGTTTAGCGCTGGCTAGTGGAGTGGACTGGTTGATTGGTTCTCAAAAAGACGTCGTCTATATATATATAGGACATAGACATTATATAAGTAAGATTGTAGTGCTATAGTTTAAGAATTGCTTATTACTTTTTGTTTGTTCAAATAGATTTGGTTTTGGCTTAGCTTTTTGGGCTTTTGTGTTGGTCATTATTGCTTATTTTTTCGATTACTGTTTATGGTAAATCTGTAATTTGTAATTTGAGCGATACTTTCTTTCTTGTCTGACTGTGAGTGAGAGTAGTAGTAGTGCTGCCTGCTGCCCCAGACAAGTTAGGAGGAGTATATCTGAAATTTAGTGCACGTTCAGTTTCATTGGTTTACATAGAGCAGTAAGGTAACGAATTTCAATTGGATTGTGTTCAAAAAAACTCAAACATAAACAAATCATATTGAATACAAAATGCCTAGATATGTTTTGGTTTTTTTTTTTATTGTTTTGTAATTTTGTAATTGGTTTTTTTCGCAGCTTCTGGCACATTCAAAACTTACCAAATGGTCTCCAGCTTTTTGTGTTTAGAATGACCAAAACAATCTCTAGCAACAATATTGAGCTTATTCGATTCTCTGCAAAGACATTTCACCCTTAAGAATTATTCTAGCATTTTGGTTCGGTTTGTAATTTTTTAATGGTGATTGTGTGTGGGTAATTTTTGGTTGTTCTTAGTGAGACAGCAGATAGGAAGAAATAAGAGCATTCAACTCAAGATTTGTTGGTTCGGGGCGAGAGGGACTTCAGTAATGTAATTCCATACTTTTGAGATTGCATTTAAGATGGATTCAAGTGTGCTTGATAAACTGTACAAAACTAAGTTACTTGACTTTTTGGAAGAGCTGGACAATCTATCGGACAAAAAATATAAGTAATTTCTGAAGATTATTGATAGATGTCTAACAGAAATGTATGATCTTAAATTCACACACTACTGCAGTAAAAACTAAGAAAACTGTTTAACCAAATAAAAGTAGACATATATTTACAGATTTAATTATGATAACAGATGAGTAACTTCATCTATGTTTAAAAAGATCCTAAATAAGATTGACAAGGTTTTTAAACAACCTTTCTAGATCAGATAAGAAAATGACGAGCCATAGTAAGTACTAAAAGTACGTTTCAATCAGTCAAAAAAAATAAAAGTCCAAGTTAATGAGCAATATGGTAGTAATATCGTTGATTTTCATTTTTGCATTAAATGTGTTAGACAAGATATTTTTTTGCGAATGATATAACTCTAGAAAACCATGACTTGGTTAAAATTAAATGTTTACTGCTTTTAGACACTTGTTACGTCGTTTTTAGTTGCCCTTGCAGCTCTGCCAAATATTTTGCACCCCACTGTACCCACTGCAATGGACACGACTGTTTCAAATGCCGAGGCGGAAGATGAACAACACAAACCCACACACAGACAGATTCTCGTTGGCGAAATTATTTTCTGTATGCACGGGCAGTCATGTATGAAGTCTATAGAAAACAAAAAAAAATTACGAAAATCCGCACGCAGTGCACTGTTTCGTGTGCCGGTTTTTATTTATCAACAAAATTAGGTTAAAAATCGATTTAAGACCACTTAGTATGCATCGAGTGCACATGTGTGTGTGTGTGTGCCCGAGACGACGACTTACATACAAACACAAAAATGCACGTTCGTACACAGCGCGCCTGTGGGTGTCTATGTGGGGAAAAGAAGTATACAAACATACATATGAAGTAACTGTTTTTCATTTTGTTTTCGCAGCAAAATAATCGCATTTGGTTGGCACTTAAACCAGTGGGGCTTAATTTAAACGACTAACGCCTGATATGCGGCAGTCGAAACTTACGTTTTTCTGATACGGCGCCTCGAGCATCGCCTCCACATCAAAGTCCTCGGCCATGTTAGAAAATTTCTGTGGTTCTATCCGGGGTGCTCCGTGAAAAAAGTCCCCTGCTCGGTGTCTGGCACGTTTGGAGAAATCAAAATGTGGTGGTGACGCACAGCGCAATTCGCAGAACCACTTACGAACTCCTTTTCTGACTTTTGCGCTTGTTAGTGTACGATTTTATGAATTTTCCACCAGATTTTCCTCTACAGCGTGGCTGCTTGTTTTCGGCTTCGATGTCAGTATATCGATATTTTTGGAATAAAAGTAAATATTTAAATCGTGATATTTTTTTACCAGATATATCGCTATTATCGCTACTTCTTGATATTTTTTCACCAGATATATCGATATTTCTTGCGCCGCTGTCACGTAAGTGCCACAAAACGTAGGTGTCAGCAGACGTAAGAGCCACGTAAGTGTCAGTAACATCCCTTGCCTCAAAACTTATCGATAGCGCGCCAGCGCTAGCAGTCTCGATTTTTCTAATGCACCATACTGCGACTTTCTTATCGATAAGCTAACAAGGTCTGTTCAGACTGGATACATCTACATTAATAATAATCGCTTCATCTTTTTTTTTTTATAGAAAGAAATGGAAGAGGGCTTAACGGAAAGTCAGCAATGCTTAGTGTTCAATGATTTGATGCGAAAACTTAAAGCCTAAAAATCAGATTGAAAAACACGATAGTCATACGAAAAATGTTAATCACATTAGTATAACTTTTAAAGATTTCTCTTTGGTCCTGCGTTTGTTGACAATAAAAAAATTGGATAACGTTTTGTTATTGATGGTTTTAAAATCGGGGAAAGTTGAACCGTTTGATACCTCTTACTCTATATATTTAACGTTCCCAACTTTTGGTTAGCATTTTTGAGAGATTTATCTTAAGTAACAGAGATGTACGCAAGGTAATATGCATAAAATATATATATCTAAAAGCTAAACAAGGGACGATTACAAATTTAAAATATTTAAATTTAAACATTTAAAAGGTGAACAATGGGCGCTTAAAATTGTAAAAAAGCCAGAAATCTCGCTGACTGAAGCAGAGCTGAATATGGCGGGAAAAGTGCTGATCGGGCAACACAGATACCATCACATCGAAAAGCAGCAAAATTCTGTTGGTAAACATACGCAAGAAGAAGTCGAAGTCTGGCAAATTAATGCGCCAGCATGCAAGCGCAACCAGTTGATTGCAATTCCCTGGATATAGTGAACCTGGCGGAAACCTTCTGAATGGATTCACAGCCGATTCGCAGTGAGAAGCGAGAAATAAGCACCTGCAGTTGCTGTTGAGTCATCAGCTTTTAGCCAAATAGCCAAAAAAAAACAAGGCCAGCAGTCGTTAGAACCACCCAACCTGCTGACCAGGTAGGACGACAAAGGTAGCCCCAGGTGAGCCACAGGTGAGAGGCGTAGTCTTCGACGAGGATGGCGTAAGCCGATCCAACGAGCCACCAACACCCCATCGCCAAATAATCGTTACGCGTCGCTGACTAGGTGTGTCTAAACTCCGACTAACTTTCGTCTACGTTTGCAGAGCGCGCACATACACACACGCACACCACCCCAGCCCAGTAACCCCAAAAACCAACCCATTGCGGCACTAGCCCCAATGGAGGACTACAAGTTCCTGTTCAAAATCGTCCTGGTGGGCAATGCGGGCGTGGGCAAGACCTGCCTGGTGCGCCGCTTCACCCAGGGCCTGTTTCCGCCTGGGCAGGGAGCCACCATCGGCGTGGACTTCATGATCAAGACGGTGGAGGTGGAGGGCGAGAAGATCAAGCTGCAGATCTGGGACACTGCCGGCCAGGAGCGTTTCCGCTCCATCACGCAGAGCTACTATCGATCAGCCCACGCCCTGATCCTCGTCTACGACATCAGCTGCCAACCCACGTTCGACTGCCTGCCCGATTGGCTGCGCGAGATCCAGGAGTATGCGAACTCCAAGGTGCTCAAGATTCTGGTGGGGAACAAGACGGACCGGGATGACCGCGAAATACCCACCCAGATTGGCGAGGAGTTTGCCAAACAACACGACATGTACTTCCTGGAGACGTCCGCCAAGGAGGCGGAGAACGTGGAGCGGCTGTTCTACGAGATAGCCGCCGAATTGATTGGACAGGCCAGGAGCAAGGATGGCAGTGGTTCGGCTGCGGCGGCGGCCGCCCAGCGCCAGTCGGAGGGCAGCTCCATCGGGCTGGGGAGCTTCAGTGCCAAGGCAGCGCAGAGCAATTGCTGCGGCGGACTCGCCAGCGGCGGTGGCGGCGGCTCCAACTCTAGTCAAGTGGGTTGAGCTGCAAACTGGACTGGAAACTGAGCAGCTACTCTATAAATAGTTAAGGACTAATCGTGATATTTCATTGATTTTTTACCATCAAGCTCCTCTATTCTAACACCTATTTTTCATTTGTCAAACGACCTTGATTACCGATTATCACGATTAAGATTACATCTGAGGTGAATATACCTCATGTTGATGATTTAATACCTTAACTTATAACAAATAACTTTATTTCCGATTTCTTTTACAGAAAAAGTATTTGAAGCTATATCTAAAAGAATTTAACTAATAACAAATAGCCCAAATTATTTAAGTTAACCAAAAATCACGGTTAAGATCCACTTCTAATGTGCAAACGAAACTGGAAACTGAGCAGCTAATCTATAAATAGATAAACATTAATCGTGATATTCGTTTGACCTTTTACAACGTATTGTTTTATTATAGTCAAACAAAAAGCTCTCCCAATTCAAAGTATTTTGTTTCCTATTATTTATAAAGCCAAACTCTAATAATACTAACAATTTATTGATATATCTACAATTCTTTTAGTTAACCCCAATTGTTTAGTGTCCCAATTATCACGATTAATATCTACTCCAAAACTAGCTGTCAATGACTAAGGATGCTAAATATTTGTGTTACAAGAACTCCATTGGAGGTGTTTTTAAGCGCCTAATTTTATTGATTAGTATTATATTACCGTATTGATCCAATTGTGGATCGTTTACCAAGTGAGCATCACAATCACAGCCAATGCTGCGAGAATTTATGATATCAATAATGCTATGCACAGAATTCTGTTTATTTTAATTGTTTCCTAAGAAGTATTGCATATTTTATACATTGAATTTTTTGTATACATATACAATTTATGCATATTTATTTGCAGTTATTTTTAAATATTTTTATGATTAATGTGCAATCATTTGTAATGCAATTTTTTAACGGTACTCGTAATAGTGTTTAAGGTAATTTCATGACATTCCAAAAATTAAGAAGTAGAAACTGTATGGATAGACCAGAAAACTAAATAATAAAAAATAAATAAACTAATAATCAAGTGTTTTTTAATTAATAATATCACTACATAGGAAGATCCAATTATTATAATATAAAAAGTTAAAAAATATTAACATAGACATTTAAAAACAATATTGACTAGCTCCATTTTTAACTTCGTTGTGACCGTGTCCTTTCGTTACTCAGGGGTTTTCAAGGCGGCTGATTAGATTCAAGCAAAAATCGCTCCACTCCAGTTCAGAGTTCAGACAACTCCTCCACTTCAATTTTAAGGGACCACAAATTTCGTTCAGCTGTTCTGCCCACAAAATATTTTTCTCCATTACTTTGCGAGTTAGAAATCCCGCCAGCGAATTTTCCTTTTGGGAAAAATAAAGCTTTCCTATGTATTTCAGATGAAGACCGAGGGCGAGAGAATTAAGGTTAGTACAATTGCTTTTTGTTTTCCTCACAAAAGTCGCTTGCAGACTGTCGAGTTCCTTAAATTTCTTACATCCCCAAACTCCAGCCATATAAAGTTCCATTAATCGTGTCCAAGGTTCTGATTCGCTACTGAAATCCTCAAGGCGACTTTTGGCGTTTGAAATCATATTTCTTACTTGTTGTGTGCTTGAGAGCAACGGGGTAAATTCGAAATCGAGAAATAAAGCATTAGACGCCGTTTTGATCTCCTGTCCTTTAATATTCCATTTCTCAACTGCAGATAACCGGGCGCCTCGCCTAAAAACCATCACTTCAGACTTCTTCATGTCCACCACACAGCCCCATTTGATGCAGTAGTTTTCCAGCTGGTTGATCATATTTTGAAGACCGGAAACACTACCAGAAAGAATTGCCATTTTATCAGCATACATTAGGGTGCTTATTTGGCGATCATCGATAAGGATTCCATCTTTAAACTCATCGGGAAGATCGTTTAGATATAGGGCAAATATTAGTGCTGATAGGTCTCCGCGGCCCCATTGAAAATAACCAAGGAGCTCTTCTCGGTACTCCCTCTGTTCGTATATAAATCTTAAGAATCTGATTATTTTTGACGATACTCCAAGTTTTTGAAGTTTGGGCCATAAAAGTGTTCTAAGCATTTCTGAAGATATTGATTCAAAATGAACGAAATACGAGTATACTTTTGTTCCCTTCTCAGCCAACTTCATGTTGGCCATGGTACTTAAATTATAAACAAAATCTGTCTTAGAGGATTTTCCTGAAAAACGAATCTGAGAGTTACTCAATATTTTGTTTTTTTTGCACCATTTTGTCAGCCTTATCTTTAGTATATTGATTAAAAGATCTGATGTTGATAAAAGATTCAAACCGACGATTTGTTTTTCTTTTAATTCGTTGAAAAGATCATTGCAGCGTAGGGTTATTATTCCAATAATATCTTTGAAGGCGTTTTTTGAAAACTTTGGCCAAGACCCGTGCCTGAGAGCAAATATGACTTCCTCTACCTTTATTTCCGAGTCCAATGTCGAATCGCTTAGTATAATGCTGGAATCAAATGGTACAAAATTACTGGTTTTCCGTCGTATTGGTAAATCCCTGGTTACTTGAGAGTTTCGCAGGAAACTAAGGTCCATTTGCAGGCAGATGGGTAAATGATCGGATTCATGTCGCGTTTGCCCCTCTTCTGGCTTATCCACTTTGAAGTCTATCACGGATGCCATTAGATTCTGGCTTACTGCTGCTAAATCGATGGTAGAATTGCCTATCGCACTGAAGTAGGTATAACTTCCCTCTGAGTCCCCATGGGTCAAACCATTAAGAATTTGAAGTTTGTTATCGGCGCAAAAGGAAAGAAACTTGCTTCCGTTTTTTCTCTTTTTATCATGAGATAGGCGACCGTTTGTATTAGCCACACAGGGATTGGGTTCCACAGGCTGTTTTATTTCACCTATCCGAATATTTACATCGCCCATAACAACGACATTATCAATGGGGGTTTCCTTATTTTCAAAAGCTTTCTTCACCGGCTCGAATTCTTCATCCCATCCTATAGTATGGATGTAAAGTGGAACTATATTTAGTTTTTTATCACCCATGCGCAGTTGTAGCAGCTTAAAACCATTCGATTCTACAGTTGAGTGGCTTATCCCAAACTCCTTGAGCGATTTCCGGATGCCTATTATACACCCACCGATTCCTCTGCCACGACGAAAAACTTTCGTGGCATCCTTCCAATGCAAAAATTCAAAATCGGGCTGCTGTTTCTCGAAATCCTCGATGACCGGGGCATTCGGAAGGGTATGTGTTTCGAGTAAGATATAAATATTAAAGTTGCGTAGATATTTGATAAACTCTTTGTTGTTCTGTTTACCTTCTAGACCTCTAATATTATATGAAGTGATATTTAACGACTGGATTGGTGCACTAACTTCTCTTTGCGCGCTCATATTTAAGAAGTTTTAACATATACTTTTATAATCGAAGATTTTTCTGTCTTCAAACTGCGCTTATATAGTGGATAAACCAGTAAATACACAGAATTAAATGCATTTACTTGCTTCCGGACATACCACTGATAAGCCAAGTAATTATAAATAAGCTTGTGAAATTAGTATGATTCATTTATCTCTCACTTGGGTTTTCCAAAGATCTCTCCTTTTATAGTATATATAATATAATATATATATTCAGATTTCACTATCGTTTACTTTAATATTATCATAGTTATTTTTCCCTTATTTAGTGTTCTGATTGGAAATAATTGCAATAACAATACTTTGCTTGTGAATTCCCCTCTAGTCTTTCGTTCGGTTCTGCTTTTAAACCTATCGATGTATCTACATATCGAATACCAGCTAACGCATAAAAATACTTTAAAATGTAGAGTAACATATACCTATACATATTATCTATATTGTTCAGATCATACGATTTTGAAAAAAATATGATATGAATAAAAGATATTTATATTAAATAATTTGTATATTGGTTTTTTTCATCACCATGATCATTGTTGTTTTGGTTTTAAAGATAACTTAATTTTCACTTCTTTGCTTTAAATTTATTTAAATGAAGCATGACAGAAGTTTATTTTAAACAAGACTCTCTTAAATATGAATACTTCTGATAAATTAATTAATTACCATATCATTGGTTAGCTTCACGCCAAAGAAAAATGCGCTGCTGGTGGGAAACGCACATAGTAAAACTGGGACCGTTCCGCGGAATAAAGCTTTGGGGCCTTCTTTAGCCAATAGCTCTCTGAAAACGCTTCGACCTTAAAGGTAAAATAATGAAACAAATCTTTGCAATCTATTAAGAACCCTACATTTTTAGATCATCTTTGTTGTGTCCAAGGGATGCCCGACGAGCACATTGCACATACCATCCACGCGATCACGGGATTCGATTTATGTCCCGTGGCGATCTCCACCTCCTCTATGGCGTTATTTAAACTATCTTTTGTTTCGCCAGCATCCCAAAAAACCCGGATCGGTGGTTCACAAAATAATCTCGTGCATGGGTTATCTGCTGACTATTTGGTTTTTGAGACATGATTACGCTTTATGATCCTAAACAGCCGGGGAGTACGACTTTCATAATAGACGGTGCTCTAATTTGATTCAACAATTTTTACTAAAAATAAATATTACCTCCTCGGCCTTTATTCCCGAGTCCAATAACAACTAGTTCAGTACAATTCTGTAGTCAAACGCGATAAGTCAAAAAGACTTGAGAATTTCTATTGTCTAAAGTATGGTATGGATATTAAGTGGAACTATGTATATTCAGATTATTTGGCACACAGACGTTGTTGTAGAATCTTTGAGCTCTTGGTTTCAAGAGTTCAGCGAGTTATTCCAAACAATTTTGGTTCAGTGTTCAATTATAACAAAGATTATCACTTTAATAACAATATTTAATTAAATAAACAGCCTCATCTAAACACAAATACTTAGGCCTAACTCTAAGCCTTCAACAAATCGTTGGTTAGCTCCACGCCGAAGAAAACTGCGGCTGTGGAGGGAAAGGCACGTAGTAAAATTGGGAGAATTCCGCGAAATAGAGCTTTGGGACCTTCTGTAGCCATTAGCTTTCTGAAAACGCTTCTGATGCCGTGCTTGTAAGTGCCCTCAGGTGCTGCAATTAAGGCATTTATAGATCATTGCCCATAGAGCCGATGAAGAACGACTCACCTGACTGTAGACGGCTTTTAAGTACATCGAAGGGGACGGCCAAAGTCCAAAACACAATACCAGCCGTTCCGCCAGACAGAATAGTTGATGTTGTGCTTATTTGTCCTGTTTTGGACTTATTTCTGGCCAACTCCTGCAGGAATTCATAGGTTACAAAATAAAATCCGGTGGGCGAATCTGTGGGTATAAGTGATCAGTAACCATTCAGGAGTCTTTAGATAGGTAGTTACCAACCTCTCAAAATGCAGGCACAGGTTCCTTTGAAGAGGCTTCTGATTCCACCCTGCCTATAAAGCTTCGCGGCTGTGTCCATGGTGCCATTGTAAAGTAGTGGTCCACTGGACACGGTTTGCGTCTGAAGGAGGACCTTAATCCGATCGCTGGGCACCGTGACGAGAGCGGAACAAACTCCAGCCAAGGCTCCGGCGACGAAGATCTGCGGATAGGTGAGCTTTATGTGGTCGTCCGTTTGGAACAATCTTTTGCCAGCCGCATAGACAGCAAAGTCCACGGCGTAGATGGGAGTTACTCCCACCAGGGGAGCAGATATTCCTCTGTAGAATCCGCGTAATCCCTCTTGCCGAAAGATTCGGGCAGTACAATCTATAACTCCCTTGTAGCGGGGGGGTTGTCCGGGAAAGGGGGTGGGCATGGTTTGAAGGCGAACCTGGTGAACGGAGGAAACATACATATGTATAACATGATTCTGAAGTCCAGGAAGAGCCTATAGCTTTATAGCTTACCTTTATTGTGTCCAAGGGATAACCGACGAGCACATTGCACATACCACCCACTCCACCTGCGATAAAGGACTTTACAGGATTGGATTTATCTCCGGGGGCGATCTCCACCTCCTCCATGGCGGGCTTTTCAGCTGTTTACGTAAACAATGTGAGAATTCCGTCAGCCTCCGTAAGAGCGCACGTGTTTGCAAATCTCTGGTTTACATGGGAGCGCTATCGATGGCTTATCTGCTGGCAGAGCAGTTGTTGACATATGATAATGATGTGTGCTTCCAAATAACGCGGGAATACAACTTCCATGATCAATCGATGCTCTTATCTATTCTATTTCTAAATATTTCATTTGCATTCCCCAAATTACAGCAGCAACAGCTGATTCACATATAATGTTAACATAGCATAAAATCGGATTAACATAGAGTTATCGATGGCATTCTTTAGTATGTTGAAATTTATACAACGAATTTAATACAAATTGAATAAAAAAAATGAATGTTTATTATCTTTGAGGGCTAAAACTTGAATTTTTGTTGTTACTAAGTTATCATTGATTGATAAAAAATATTTTTTAAATTACAAAGCTTTACCGTAGCTGTTATTTCATAGTTTAATTGTACCCTATTGAAAACTAACATTTTTATTCCAACAAACATTTATAAATGAATTTGTAAATGAATTAAAGGCAGAAAAGAAATAAGCGCATTTTAAATTTTCCGTTCGATGACACCAGTTATCGGTACTACCTCGATATCCACTACCATCGACAATCGCAGCGAAACGCGGGCAGCGACCACACACTTTTTTAATACAAAAAAGGAAGAGAAGAGCCATGTTTGAGCGTTAAAAGAAATTAGTTAACTATAGTTAGCAGAAGTGGGTGGCCAAGTGCAGGGTGGCCAAAAAACGCGTAACCATTTTTCCCAGCTGCTGTGGAAAGAAAACCTCGGACGCAGTAGAAGAAGAAGAGACAGGGAGAACAACAACAACAACAGCAACAAGAAGAAGAACGACATTCAGCAGGCCAAATTGTTGCGTATTGTTTTTTTTTGTTTTTTCAGTAGGTTTTTGGGTGCGAATTTCGTGAAAATAGTGTGGTTGCCAACATACGCATAACTTATGTCTGATAAAAGTGCGAAGGAATCATGTATTAGTAAGAGTGCGAGCTGCAGCAGCAGGCGCAAGAGAAGAAAGTGAGCGAAAAAGCAACCCGAAGTACATATTCTAGCACCAGGCAAGCAACGTGCTTTGTTGAACGATGTCCCATGGTGAGGATGTGCTAGACAACTGGGAGGAAATCGACGAGGCGGGGGTGAGTGCCATCTGATGTCCTTTAACCTTTCCTGATAACTTATCGAACACCCCATCCCTTTTCGCAGCTCTCCATGACTCTGCAAACGAAGCTGCAGGCGAGCGATCCACCCGTCCACAAGATGAAGCTGCTCCAACGGCCACAGAGCCTCCAGGAGTCCCCACAAATCCTCAGCAGCGGTGGTGGCGGTGGCGGCGGGAGCGGGAATCCCCTGCCCCGGCAGATCACCATTGCCCGAAAGCCCCAACCACCGCCAGCAGAGGTTGATCCGTCTGCCCAGCAGCAGCTGCCCGTCATGATGGTGCTGCACAAGTCCTCCAATGAGTACGATGCGGCCAGCTATGCCACGCCCACCAGCAACCAGACCGTCAAGATCCTGCGACGACCCGCCCAGGCGGAGGAGCGACGGGACATGAACGGGATGCGGCCCAAGCAGCCCATCAAAACGCTCAAGCAGCGCGAACAGGAGTACGCCGAGGCCAGACTCCGCATCCTGGGCGCGGCCAAGAACCCCGAGGACGACAAGCCGTTAGTATTTAGCACTTAAAGACTGTCATCTTATACCAAATCCATTCAGTTGTAATGTTAATAACTCAATATGTGCATAGGGCAGATAAAATGGGGTGTTTCTACATCTTTCATCTCTGTTTGCGATAGTAACATGTAGTATATATGACTATATTAATTTGCAATTGGTGAATCACTCTTCATTATTAATTACTTTACTAGTTTGTCTGGCAAATATTTTGTCATAACGTATTCATATAATATCATCTATTTTTAAAAGCATTTTCAAGAGCTCTAAAAGCTTAAAGAATTTGGCTATGTTGTACAAGCAGTAACTAATCTATTACAAAATATCTAAGTGGCGTTTATTTATTTATTTTCAGGGCGGCTCCCAGCTCGCCAGCTGTAAACAGTAGCAGTGCGGGTGCAGCTGCACCGTCATCGGCGCCGCCTGCCACTCCCCCTGCTGCCAGCAGCAACAACAACGTCGTTAACAACAACGGTAGCCATCCAGCAGCGGGAATGCATCGCTCCAGTTCGGCACCGAAGATGTCCCAGGTGTCGCCGATGTATAACAACTACAACAGCTACTTCCAGGGGCCGCACAATCAGCCGGGCCTGAACTATTACTATCCGCATAATCCGCAACAGCAGCAGCAACAGCAGCCGTCGCCCTCGATCCAGCCGCATTTCAACCAACGTCTGCCGCCGTACGGTGGCGGAGGATCGGGTATGGGAGGAGTTGGGATGCAGTCTCAGGCACCGCCTCAGTCGTCGCCCAATCCCCAGCAGAGCTGGTCACCTGTTGTGGGCGGATCAGTATCCGCTGCCCTTCTGCGCCAACAGTCGCTGCAATCGCCGCAGCAGCAACAGCAGAATCAGCAGCAGCTTGGCCAGCCACATCCACATCCGTTCAACGACCTAGTCCTGCGTTTGCCCAAGGGTCCTTGTCCGAATGGCTCCATTGGCTTTCAGATGCGCCGGTAACAGACTGCAGCGATGGAGCGCCTGTCTATTTCAATAACTTCTTATTTTCATCTTGGTACATTGATTCCAAATGCATGTTTCTATATATAAAAGAAAAAAACAACCGAAAACAACAACCCACGACTCATTCTGAGATTCTTTGTGGCCAAACATTGAGTTCAGGTTCAATGTGGCGCATATTCGTTGCTATATCCACTGGCTAGACCCAAGCATCAACAACTATGTAAAACAAATTTTATGACGGACTATGGTAGATATTTTGTAAATTTACAACTCACACCACACAATTTTGTATAATGCATACTAATAAAACAAAACCGTAATTTTAAAAGGTGATGCAGGCAAAGAAATTAGCTAAATTGGGGCTAAATACTTATACGTACTTTTATTCAATTTTATTCTGATTCTGATTATGTAGATTTTAAGAATCTGATGAAAACATATTGACGGTGACTCGTTCTGCTTATTTTTTTGCCTTCAATGATTATGGTTTATGGAGTACAATGATCCCTCAAATTACCGAGCTCCAGATCTCATCTTGTTTATTGCCTGCTGCTGTTCAATACCTAATTAATCAGCGGATGTTGATTCGAACTCGTTTTGGACCTCGCTTGCAGTGGTGCGTTTCTGATCACAATACCTTGTTGACAATTTAAAAATATTTCGTACGGGTAACATATCTTTGCTCGTCCGTAATTAGGAACATCCTTTCTTTTCAATCTTAAAGTCTGAGATTCTTTTCCAATTTGTATCAATTTATAGGACTACATATATTCCAACATTAAATATCTGAGGGGTGACAAAAAGCTTTAAGCTTTTTATTTACATACATATATGTAAATAGGCTTAAGCTGGGCTTGTCGCGTAAAAGACAAAAATAACTTAAGAGGAAAAATTCCAGATCTTTCTGATGATCATTCGCATTTGCAAAAAAAAAATAATCGTGATAAGCGATGCAATTTGAGTTACAGTTGCATTTACCCCCAGCGATCGTTGATTTTTGGGGTCCCGAAAGGCTATCATCATGTTTTTGTTATTTATTCGTAACTTAAAAAATCGCTCTGCTGGAAAACAACAAACAGAGTTGTACAGAGAAAGAAAAACAGCTAGAAATTAAAGGTTCATATTGACAATTTTGAATTTTAAATACATTTTTAAAACAAAAACTAAAAATTCTTTAAAAGAGTTATTATGGATTTTACTTTAGAAATTAAACATATCATTCATATCATCATCATAAAGAACCCGATTACAACCCAGTATTTTTTGTCTGTATACAAAAAAATACAAACATCCCACTGGAACCGCTCTTATCAGCCCCTAGAACCTGAACACAAACATAATCGCACATCGGGAGGCTATGACAAACCGACACACATGTGTGTTTCTACCTAGGCCTAGTATTTCCAACTTCGATTCCAGACTTTAGTTGAAAAAGAGGCGTCGAACCGAGCGGTTTGAGATCCGAAAGTTGCTTGAAGAGCGGAAACATATAATCGCGTGTGCTCGTTCCTACTCTCTTGGTCGCCAAGCGAGCTCAACACGTGGGCGAGAATTAATAAAGTGATATTATTGCTTTGAAAACGTGATTGGTTTAGTTCTTGTTGCTTGAGAGTCCCAAAAATATGTCGCAGAGCGTTCTGATTATCGGTAGTGGCGGTCGGGAGCACGCGATTTGCTGGAAATTGTCGCAATCCCCGAAAGTGTCCAAAATTTACGCGTTGCCAGGCAGCCATGGCATTCAACAGGTGGAAAAGTGCCAGAATCTGGAGGCCCAGACCTTGGATCCTAAGGATTTCGAGGTAGGTTCGATATCCCGACCTTGGATTGCCCTTCGTGAGGGGCTTAAAATTACCTAAAAGTGCGAGTGTGTGTGTTAATTGAATGCTGCGGGTGAAGATTTAGCAAAACAGCTGCGCATTTTTGGCATTTTAGTCATTTGGTTTCGTTTTATTGCCACAGTGATACGCTTTTATGGCTTCTGATCATGGTAAAATATGCACTGCATGCTGGTCGAGAACTTTTATGCTGAGCTGCAGCCATAAATCCGTAATCGAGACTCTGGGAAAGCGTTTTATTGCATCCAATCTCTGATCGTCGGTGTGCCTTAACCCTTCGACGGGCCTTGGGGTCTGCGATTGCAAGTGCTGCTGATAAGTGATTCGCGAAGTGCAAATCTCTGTTACAATCTATCGCACGAGTGTTTATTATAAATTACAGAGTGCCATATACATTGTATATATACATAAATATCTATTTATGTATATTATATTCATATTTGAACAGTCACTTCAAAATTAGGCTCATGTTGCTTAATTTATTATTAAGGCTTTAATTGGTTTTTATTAATTTGATGACTTTTTATTAAACATTCAATGAATTTTACACAGTTTGTTACCATAATCGTTAATTGTATAAATACTGCTGAAGAAAGTTTTACAATATATAGAAAGATTTCAAAAGGAAAATATTTGTAACTGGGATAGAGCTATTGAGTATAGGAATTTGCTCCATACTCTCAAATCAAATTTTTTTTGGTTTTTATTTGACTTCAAAATATTATTTTACTTCTAACAATCTTAAATTCGTATCTAGTAAATAACACCGAAAGTAAAAAATAGAGTGGAAAAATACTTAATTTGTTCAAAGGCTTAAAAGTTGTTTATGAAATATAAACTTACGTTTTCAATGCTTAAAAGTATGCAGGTGCCACTGAAACTCGAAAACGTTTTTTGTTACCCTTGCAATCAAAAATAAAAACACTTTAAATGGCTTATTAATGGAATAGCAGAACCATTACCGCACCTGAAAGTGATATTTCCTTAGAAACCAGTTTTAAAGCTTAATCTACTTCATTTGGGTTAATTAATTTTGGAAAGTAGCCTCGGCAATTAGAATGACTGCTGAATTTGTTCTTTATCATTTCGTTTAAACATTCCAAATTTCCCCATTTTTAAGTCATTAAATCTAAGTGAAATATATATCTTCGATTTGTGATCTCAACGTTCAGTAGTCAAACGAAAAATATGGGCACAAGTAAGACTTCCACTCAAATAAATCGATCGCCATTCCAAAAACATAATCAAATATGAAAAAAGATTTATGTCGTGAATACGATTCCACTGATCGAGTAACAATTTGTTATTAACAATAGAAATCTTTTGTTGTCGTTTTAAATTTAAGCTTACGTTTGCTTAGCACCTCTATTTATTGCTTGTGGCTTAATTAATTGTTTAGATCAAAATTCACAGATTCGCCTGATTGACTCCTAAGAGACCAGCCCCTTCCCCCGCCAAAAGTTCTCGACCATCGATCATCAGTGCTTCGAAGCGCCTCGTCTTTGTCGCAGAGGTCGTAGCGTTGTCGTGGGCGGATGGGTGAGGTATATGGTCTTTGGAGTGGTGCTTGGTCGGGATCTTGGGGTTGTTGCCTCCTGGATGTTGCGGGTATACACATTGAAGGCAGCCGCATCGTGCTCCACGGTCTTGAGTTCGCCGGTATAGTAATCCTTTATCTGGTAGGGATGCGTTCTAATGTACTCCAGGGAGCGCAGTATATAGTCGGGGACCTGGGGAATATGCGAGCCCTCAGGATGATAGCCAAACTCATCGGCCACATAGTTGACACTAATGACATTGCCCTCGGGTGAGGTGTAACTGTTGCCACCCTGGATGGAAACGCCACCCAATCCTGCTTGGGAGGCGGAAATTCCATTGGAGGTCTCGTAGGCGTACCGGTAGTTGCCATCCAGTTCCACCTGCAGTTCGTTCTGCAGGGTCCGTGTGTTCCGATCCGAATCCGGGATGTAGGAGGAGCCTGCCTGCACCTGCACCTTCATGACGGCCAGGGCAACGATGAAATTCACCTGTGGGAGTGGACAAGAGTCAGTTAATTATAATCCATTTTCGGGGAAATCCCAGTTCGGGGGGCAGACTGTGCTTACAAGCAAATACATGATGTCGCGTTCGAGTTTGGTTCTAAACTGCTTGTCTGCCTCTCGGACGCTTTCGTTTTTATATCCATCCGCTCACCAGCGGATTTTTGGCAATATTTCGCCTCGGAAACCCAGTTCCGACGTCTCCATCTCCGCTCGTCAACATCACCATCTTCATCTACATCATCGCTGTGGGGCTGCCTTAGTCAGTCATAAATAAAATGATTTTATTTCTTATAAGTATTTTATTTTATATAGGTATCAACGACGTTATTTGTCGTTGTCGCCGTTGCAATTCCTATAGTGTGGGATGGTAAAATCCAGCAAAACGGAAAGAAGAGTAAAAATTAAATGAAACATTCGTGAATGGTTATGCCCTACTCGAAGGTTGGGGCACTTACAATTTGATATGTATTGTGGCTGATCTTGAAAATCCCATATTGCCTTGCTTGACTTACATTCCCAAGAAACTCTAAATACCATGGCGATCGTTGAACTGCAATGTCGTAAAAATATAATTGTCGGTGTAGTTAAGATCTGTAAATGGAATTTTGATGTTTTACTGATTGATAGGTCTGAATTTCACACATCTAGTGAAATCTGTTTCTACAGTTAGCTGAAAATAAGCCAAGAAGATAATTAAGAAATTATTTTAACAATAGTTTTCAGTTTTTAAAGCTAAGGCTGAGAATTCCGCTTTATCTGCTAGTTATTTGTAGTTCTTCTTTTGGATTTAAATGTAAACTGACTCTAAAGGAAATGACTTTCCAATTAAAGAAACGTTTTCATTACTTTACAGCTTAAATGCCAAATTTGTGATATTAGTTTGGCTATAATGAAGCTTAATTACTTCTTTAACTTACTTGATCTGCTACCTTCTTCGCTCTTTTCATTTGCATAGTTATTCTTAGAAATTGCATAGTCTGTTCATTAAGCTCAGCATAGTTATACTGATAAATGATCTTTGGACGTTTATCATCAAACATATAATTCAATCAGCTGGCTGACACTTAGACGAAATTTCCTGCTTCATCCCAGCTATCACCCGTCTGATGATACTTTTTTTTGGGCGATTCCGAAAAACCCGTCCGACCAATTCAGCAAAGCGTATCTAATTCCTTACTTATCCGCAAACGAATGTGGCAACATTCTTTTCCAACCTCACCGCCCCCTCCAGATGTCGAGGTCCCATTCTCCCGCACTTAATTTGCATATAATACAGTAAATCATGAGCGCACTCTGTAAAGCATAAAGACGAAAACGTTCTAACCAAATTTGGTAAGAGCCAGTCGGAGAATGCGAGTTTTACTTAAAATATATATATAATAAAAAAAAGTTGTTGATCTTTCTTCGTTCCATCTGTCATAAGATCTTCTCAACCCTCGCTACGGGAAATTAAAACCTTGGCCGGGTTTGCCAAATCGCTCTTAATTTGGAAAGCCAAATAGCTCAATAAAAACGTCATTTTGTGTGAACGTTCTTGAACCCTGGGAAGCACAAACGAACCGGATGGGGATGATGGGGGTCAGGAAATCGGGATGAGTCCACCAGGTGCTAAATGGTCTGGAACGCAGCAGAGTGGCATCTTGACACGTTCCACCAGAGCGGGGTAATCCGACTCTGCGTTGGCGCCAATTCGAATTAGAGCTGAGTAACGATATCATCGACAACTTGGAAACCGGACCAGCGATCGAGCTGGGATTAACTTGGTTTGTTGACATGGCCGACATAACCGGCGCCTGAGTCAGTTCATCTTCCATCCGCCGAATGTGAAGACAATGCACCCCCAGTCCCAGTTTAATGGCAAAACAATTAGGAAGGCATTTAGTATTTTGGCGACAAATTGACGATGGAACCGGTTGAGTACTTAGAGGAGTGTTATCTCCCACTTGGAATGTGGTTACAAAAAGGTCAAAACAACCCAAAAACAATGAGGAGCCCAAGAAGTGGCGGAGGATCGTGACCCGGTTTGATTGGAAAAACCAATTATGATCTCAAAATTTATGATTGTTTTGGTGCACAGAGGTATTTCAATGCAATTTTCAAGATTCTGAATGTATCACGAATTTTAAATTATAAAAAATTTCATCAGTGTATCAATTGTAATTAAGATTCCAATGTCAATTAAGTAATTTGATTTTAGCACTCCAGATTTGAACAACGGTTATTTGATTATATATTTCATCACAACAGGCTGGTCGGGATTTTTATTGTTATGGATCCTAATGAATATGTTTATATTTGTCATGGAGTTAAGAATCACTTAACAGATTATATTTTGGTATTTCTTAACAACTTTCATTTTTTAGATTACCTATTCAAATGTGTTTGCTTATATTTGTTATGGAGTTATTAATACCCTAATAAAAAATTGTTTAAGAACTTTAATTTTATTAGATTGCCTTCTCTATATGGAAACACTTTACTTAATTTAATCTACTTGTTTCATATATTTCTCAGGCCATTGCCAAATGGAGCAAAGCAAACCAGATAAACCTAGTGGTTGTGGGACCCGAAGATCCCCTGGCCTTGGGATTGGGGGATGTGCTGCAGAAGGCGGGAATACCGTGCTTTGGACCCGGCAAGCAAGGTGCCCAAATCGAGGCGGACAAGAAGTGGGCCAAGGACTTTATGCTGCGCCATGGCATTCCAACGGCTCGTTACGAGAGCTTCACGGACACGGAAAAGGCCAAAACCTTTATCAGAAGGTATAGTTTACAATTTAATTATTATATAGAATGAAAGTAACTTAAAATCTATCCCATAGCGCTCCATACCCAGCTCTGGTGGTGAAGGCTGCTGGACTGGCGGCGGGAAAAGGCGTGGTGGTGGCCGCCAATGTGGAGGAGGCCTGCCAGGCGGTGGACGAGATCCTGGGACAGCTGAAGTATGGTCAGGCGGGAGCCACTCTGGTGGTGGAGGAGCTGCTGGAGGGCGAAGAGGTCTCCGTGTTGGCCTTCACCGATGGCAAGAGTGTGCGCGCCATGCTTCCCGCCCAGGATCACAAGCGTTTGGGCAACGGCGACACTGGTCCAAATACTGGGGGCATGGGTGCCTACTGCCCGTGTCCGCTGATCAGCCAGCCAGCCCTGGATCTGGTCCAAAAGGCCGTGCTGGAGCGAGCAGTGCAGGGTCTGATCAAGGAGCATATCACCTATCAGGGTGTGCTCTACGCGGGACTCATGCTGACACGCGATGGTCCTCGTGTCCTGGAGTTCAACTGCCGGTTCGGAGATCCAGAGACCCAGGTGATACTGCCGCTGCTTGAAACCGACCTCTTCGAGGTTATGCAGGCCTGTTGCAGCGGGCAGCTGGACAAGATTCCCCTGCAGTGGCGCAATGGAGTTAGCGCCGTGGGTGTGATCCTGGCCAGTGCTGGTTATCCAGAGACCTCCACCAAGGGATGTCTTATAACCGGTAAGGTTTTCGTAGCTCTTGTGTTAAAGTTTAATGTTAAAGACTTTTTTTTTTAGGACTTCCTGCTACCAATTCTCCCACCCAATTGGTTTTCCACAGCGGTCTTGCCGTGAATCCACAAAAGGAGGCCTTGACCAACGGCGGTCGGGTTCTTATCGCCATTGCCCTGGACGGAAGCTTGAAAGAGGCTGCCGCTAAGGCCACCAAATTGGCTGGAAGTATCACTTTTTCGGGCTCGGGAGCTCAGTACAGAACGGACATTGCCCAGAAGGCATTTAAAATGTAATTATTCATATGTGCATCATCTAACAAGACTCATTTCAAATAAAGCATCAATAGTTTGGAAAACGGAAAATTGGATTGCAATCAAATTTTTTAATTTGTCAATTCAAATACATATATAGAATAAGAACAGACCTTCAACTGATTGTGGTTTTTTGTTCGGAGCGTAGAGATCTTTTGTTTTTAATTCTCGCCCTGAAGAGAATTTCTTAAAATTCAAATCAAAGTTAAACTTAAATTGAAATGTTTAGAAAAACATATATATAAGCTCTTTCGGTCACTTCATTCTCATTTTTCAAAATAAAATAAATGACAATATAAAAAATGTAGGGCCAAATCTCCATTTTAGATATTAAGGGGTAAAATTTAATATCTATAAATACAGCCGACATGTCCTAACTTTGATTTTAGTTTATCTTTAAATGTCAAAAGGTTGATCTAGTTGAATTGACATAGAGCGCTAATTGGTTAGAATTGTGGAAGGTCGACTAATTAATTTAAATTCATCTACTATTTGACCCATTGATAAACTTCTATCTGCTCTATTGGATTTCCTTTACTTAGAGCTACTGCCAGCTCCCCGGGGCTGAGTTACAAGGACAGCGGAGTGGATATCGATGCTGGAGATGCACTGGTGCAGCGCATCAAGCCCTTGTCCCGCGGCACTCAGCGACCTGGCGTCCTTGGTGGCTTGGGCGGTTTTGGAGGACTGTTCCGCCTGAAGGAACTCAGCTACAAGGAGCCAGTCATTGCGGAGGCCACCCAGGGAGTGGGGGCCAAGATCCTCGCCCTGGAGCACGAGCTGTACGAGAACGTAGGCTACGATCTTTTCGCCCTGGCCGCCAACGATCTTTTGGAACTGGGCGCCGAACCAGTGGCCTTTCTGGACTACATTGCCTGTGGCAAGTTGCACGTTCCATTGGCCGCCCAGTTGGTCAAGGGTATGGCCGATGGTTGCCGGGATGCGCGGTGCGCCTTAGTGGGTAAGATTCTTACCAATCTTTATTGAGGTCTGTTAGTTAACTTTTTCTTTTTTCTAAGGTGGAGAAACTGCCGAGATGCCCTCTCTTTATGAACCCGGCCAACATGACATGGCTGGTTATTGCGTTGGAATCGTGGAGCAGTGTCGAGTCCTCCCCCGTTTCGATCTTTACCAGCCTGGGGACCTGCTCGTTGGTCTTCCATCATCTGGACTTCATTGCGCCGGCTTCAATGAGATACTTACCCAGTTGGCGGCAGCCAAAGTGAATCTCAGGGAGTGTTCTCCCGTTGATGGTAGCGAGGATGGCCTGACCTTGGCCCATGTCCTGGCCACGCCCACTCAACTGTATGTCCAGCAGTTGCTGCCCCATCTTCAGAAGGGCGATGAGATCAAGTCGGTGGCCCATGTGACCCATGGTCTGCTGAACGATGTCCTTCGCCTGTTGCCCGAAGGATTCGAGACAACGCTGGATTTCGGCGCCGTGCCAGTGCCCAAAATCTTTGGCTGGCTGGCAGGAAAGTTAAAGTTGAGTGCACAGACCCTCCTGGAGAGGCACAACTGCGGCATTGGCATGGTGCTGGTCCTGCCCCAGTCGAGTCAGCTGTGGCGCAAATCTCTGCCAGGAGCCAAGGTCCTAGGTGTCCTGCAGCGGCGGTCAAAGACAAGTGGTTCGCCTGTCCTGGTGCGCAACTTTGTGGAGCAACTGCAGAAGATTGCCTCCCCGTACGGTGGACTTGGTGAACGGGAGTTGCCCGAAGAGCTCAAGGAACTGCCTGCCAACAACAATCTATCAGCTCCTCGCGAAGATTGCTTCGAAAACGCAGCTGGACGTCGACTCACACGCATCCCAAGCCACTACAAGGACCCCATTCTCATCCTGGGCACCGATGGCGTGGGAACCAAGCTAAAAATAGCCCAGCAAACGAAGAGAAACGCGAGCGTGGGTATCGACCTGGTGGCCATGTGCGTCAATGACATCCTTTGCAACGGAGCCGAACCCCTTAGCTTCTCCAGCTACTATGCCTGCGGCCAATGGCAAGAGAAGTTGGCCAAGGAGGTTCATTCTGGGGTGCAGGAGGGTGCCCGGCAGGCCAACAGCAGTTTCATTGGTAAGTTGATTAAATTTTCGGAAAGTTAGTCTTAAACTTACATGAGAAATTTACTTCATGCAAACTAATCCTTTGTGTGATCCTTTCCAGCTTCTCACAGTGCTGCTCTTCCGCTGCTGTACGGTCCACAGGTCTATGACCTGGCTGGTTTTGCCTTGGGCATAGCTGAACGCTCCGGAATACTGCCCCTTTTGGAGGAAATTCAGCCAGGAGATGTGCTTATCGGATTACCCTCGTCTGGTGTCCACAGCAATGGATTCAGTTTGGTTCACGCCGTCCTCAAGCGAGTGGGTTTGGGTCTGCAGGACAAGGCGCCCTTCAGCGAGAAGACGCTGGGCGAGGAGCTGCTGGTGCCCACCAAGATCTATGTGCAGGCATTGTCCAACCTGCTGGCCCGAGGAAATCACGGCATCAAGGCGCTGGCCCACATCACCGGAGGAGGTCTCAGCGAGAATATACCGCGGGTATTGCGAAAGGACCTGGCCGTGCGGCTGGACGCCAACAAATTCCAACTTCCGCCCGTTTTCGCTTGGTTGGCGTCAGCCGGAAACATCAGTTCCACTGAGCTGCAGCGCACCTACAACTGTGGATTGGGAATGGTGCTGGTGGTGGCCCCCACTGAAGTCGATGCGGTCCTCAAGGAGTTGCGTTATCCACAAAGAGCTGCTGTTGTCGGCGAGGTGGTTGCCCGCAAGGACCCGAAGAAACCCCAAGTGGTGGTCCAGAACTTTGAGGCGTCATTGGCCAGAACGCAGAAGATTCTATCCCTGCCTCGGAAGCGAGTTGCTGTCCTCATCTCAGGAACCGGCAGCAACCTGCAGGCTTTAATAGATGCCACGCGGGACTCAGCACAGGGTATTCATGCCGAGATAGTGCTGGTCATTAGCAACAAGCCTGGTGTTCTGGGTCTGGATCGTGCCAGCCGAGCTGGCGTACCATCGTTGGTCATCTGCCACAAGGATTTCGCCAGCCGGGATGTCTACGATGCGGAACTGACGCGTAATCTGAAGGCGGCTCGCGTGGATTTGATTTGCCTGGCCGGCTTCATGCGAGTCCTGAGTGCTCCCTTCGTTACGGAGTGGCGTGGACGTCTCATCAACATCCATCCCTCGCTGCTGCCCAAGTATCCGGGTCTGCATGTTCAGCGGCAGGCCTTGGAGGCGGGCGAAAAGGAGTCCGGCTGCACGGTTCACTTCGTCGACGAGGGCGTGGATACGGGTGCGATCATAGTTCAGGCCGCCGTACCCATTTTGCCCGACGACGATGAGGATTCCCTAACGCAACGCATCCACAAGGCAGAGCATTGGGCTTTCCCACGGGCATTGGCTCTTTTGGCCAATGGAGCCGTTCGACTTGGTCCCGAGGCAAGCCAGTAAATGACTCATAAATGAAAGGTTTAAAATGCCTGCTAATCGAGACCGACAAATTTAATGGAAATCACACGGATGAATTTAATTCTCCTACTTTTACTTTTCAAGTCGAATTAGTTTTAACAACCTCGAACTTTTATAGATATTCGACTGTAATAAGATTAACAATAGTTTTTTTATGTTAAGGCTGCATATGTTTTATAAAAATAATAACTATTATTTACACAACACACAGATTTGCTTTTTGTTTTTAATGTATTCGAAAAGAGCCCGATATCTTTCTTTAAACAAAAACTTTAAAAAAAGATATTTCCCATTAAATCTGGTTTGGAACCTTGAATATATAATAAGAATAATTTGATCGGGTACTTGACTTTATACGTTATATTCATTCTTTTATTTTTAAAACACAAATCGGATAGCATAACCAATTGCAAAATATTTTTGTACCATTCTTTTTTTTACACATTTATCTACTTCTAATATCACATTTCGACGATCACACATTTTCCTTTACAATAGTTTGTTAATTAGGGAAAAGAGACTGGTACTAGAACTCCCCTGATCCTCGATATTACTTTTGGCTTTAGCACTCACTTCGGGTCTGATTACGTTACGCTGCAATTCCGGATCCTTGAATATAGGCTCTGCCATTCTATCGAGGTTCAGGCGAAAGAATTGATTCTCCAGGATGGGAACTATCAGATTGTACTTGTCAATGAGCTTGTTTAGCTGCTTGACATCCTCCTGTTGCTGGTGGGTGAAGGTTTGCCAGGCGGCCAAATCTTCGGGGCGCTGAAGTGGCCATTCCCCGTAGTATATGCGTTCCTTCCGCAACTTCATCTTTAGCTGAGCGACCGCATCGCGTATATCCTTTCCAAGGCTGATCCACTCCGGCGTGAAGCCATTGTCCAACATGATCTTGTTCAGCTTATGAGTGGTAAAGTCCAGATAGGGATTCTGCGATTGAGCCGCGGACAGTGGCTTTCCTGACCCGTTGAGGTTGTTAAAGTCACCCTTGGACATGGCCTCCTGGATGAGATCCTCGACCACCCGATCGATGCCGTACTTGGTCTTGATGGCATGTCTGCGAAAGTGATTGCCGCCCTTGGACATCAACGTTTTCTCTCCGGCAGCGGCCTTGTCGATGCGGTGCTCCAGGACGCGTTCCTGAGCCTTCATGGCACGCACCTGCTGGTACTGCTTCTGGCGCTGGAAGGGATTCCCCATGCCGATGCCTTCGTTGGATAGATATTGCCGATGCTGCGGCGCCGTGTGCTTGATGTCGAACTCCATGGCCTCCTCCTCGTCCTCCTGGATATTGCGTCTTCCTTTGGCGAACTTCTCCTGCAGCACCCGAAAGGCCTGGTCCACCTGCTGGAAGCGCTCGGCACTGGCCTCCTCGGTACCAGAATCGGGATGCACCCGCTTGACCAGATCCAAGTAGGCGTGGCGCACGGTGTTCTGGTCGGCCGACTCGTGCACGCCCAGGATGCGGAAGCATTCCTAGTGAAAAGAGTTGCAATATTGCGTAATAGTCGGGGGAACCAAGAGATATTGGAAGATTTAAGCTCACCATATACACCTCCTTGCGTTTAAGGTGCAAAAACCGAGCGAATCTGAAGTTTGTGGATCCAACCAACAGACGTCCTGCCAGCCACATTTTTTACTGTCCTTATTTAGGTTAATTTTCAAAAGGCTTTGGAATTTGTTAACGTGACGTTCAATGCAGTTCTACTATCTACTATAATAAACATTTGTTTATGTTTTCGGGCCGATCAGCTGTTGGGAATGTATGTGTGCGCGCTAGTATTAATATACTGGGCACGTAAAAAATATTATTTTTTAGTATATTTTACATATGGTTTCAGTGGGACCGTCTCACTCAGGGATCCGTAAAGTTATTTAGCCGTTGAAATTTAAATTCAAAACATTAAAAAGTATATTAATTTAAAGGGAGTGGTAAAATAAATTGAATAAATATCAACGACATTTGTAAAATATGTAAAGATGTTTTATTTTGATTATTTTTATGTGTGAGATATAATAAAAAAAATAAAAAATGAACTTATTAAATCTAGTTTAAAAATTTGTTATTAACGTAATAATTAAATTACACTTTAAAGCCAAAAATATATAATTCAAGTTAGTAAAAGTCTCCGTCTTTTTTAAGCAAAAGGGATTTCTTTGAATTCAAAAATTAACTTTTTCATCTTTTTTTTTTAAGTTTTTAGTTTTATGATATGTTCATACTATTTCGTGAATAGCACAACTGAAAAAGGAATATGCTGACCTTACTAATAAAAAAATTTGTAAGTGGCTAAAGAAAATTAAGCGGTGCAATCTTATCTTTAAGCAGTTACCGTCATCCCATCGTTCTAAAGCGAGAATAATAACGATTATTTATTTAAACGAAATGTTCAGGTAATAATGAATGTGTGCTTGGATAAATGTTGTTGTTGTTTAGTTTATTCGTGTTTGCTCTCAGTGAATGCCTAACCCAAATCCAAAACAGAAAATTTCCACACTTACTAGAATTTCTTAATGCAATTAAAGTCTGGCGATGACCAAATCTGAGGGTAAGCAAAACTCATTTGCAATTCAAAAAACCATTCATGCTCTACATAGACTGCACATTAAAGTTTGTTCTATGTGGGTTACATAGTCATAATTAAAAATTATTTAAGTGGCTGACCTACACTTATAGAGAATTACAAGATAAAAACCAAATTGAGATTGATTCTTTAAACTGAGAAAATAAATGATCTCTTAATTTCACATCTCTTAACTTATAAAAACCATAATTGTATCTAAAAATATATTTATTGTCATACATTTGTTTGATTTTGAACACGATGGAATAATTATGATTCAATTGATCTGGTTTTGATTTTGGTTACCGGTCTGGTAAGTTGCTTGCGATATGTTTTCTTTTCGTAGCTTCCCGTTTGGCCTGTTTGATGTGGCCCATTAGCATATATACGAACAGGATGTGCACAGGTTTGCTCCAAATTCTTTGCCAGGTTTTCCATGTCGTAGATCAATCTGTGCCATGGTTATTCTATTCATCATCTTCCGAAATATCGGGCGCATACAAATCGAATACCTCAAGGAATTGTGCCAGCTTTTTGCCAATATAGCCGCCTAATAAAATGCCTGGTATGACAGTGACCGCAATACCAACATAAATGTACTTTTTGCTTCGCTTCGGTATCTTTTTTAGTTCTTTAAAGTCTTTGAAGTCGTCTCCATCAAATGGCATTCTTCTGATTTCAATTTAGGTAGCTGCTAAAGTGTGTATGTTGGGGAATCGAAAACAACATTATTCTGATGTAAATGTCAAGACTTTCTCCTGCCAAATCGGGCAGGCACGCCCCAGAACCTAAACTCGGACCCAAAACCCTCATCGGAATATTCGAGTGTGCGGCCCTATATGGCACTTCCGTTCTGCTGGCTCAACCGACTGATTTTGTCAACCGCCTGATGTCCCTCTTCAATTGGCTTGTCTACATTTCCGTCTAAGGAAGGGTATTGTCTTTCATTTTTATATTTGACCTGCAGAAGTGTTGTGTACTCATTTGCTGATTAACGGAGCGCAGAAAGGATGGTCTAAGGTGGAAATAATTGTGTTTTCTAAAAGCATAATTAGAGTACTCACTTCCGAAAATATTATTATCTAACATTTGAACATCAGCAATCAAGAATCCCTTTTTCTACCACTAACCATAAATTAAAAAAGGTTCTAATTGCACTCACGAAACCATGATTTGTTGTTATGAAAAAGGAAGTAAAATTTGAACCTTTGACGATGGATTAATGGAGGGTTATACCTTATAATTACATCTTTTTGGTTTGTATACATATGTGCTAATTGCATCTATAAGAATCAGTAAAATGCTTTCAACCATATAAATTATTTATTTTTGTGTAATTTACGAAAGAATGGAAGTGAAAAATGTAATTTATCATTCTAGTTGATTGGATAAAAAGATCTGATAAGCTAGCGTAGAGCGCTCGATCAATAATATTGGATGATTTAGATTCCGGAAATCCAACATTACCTAGGTACCTAGCTCTCTTTGGTTTAAAAATTAAAGGAAATAAACAATATTCACAAAGTATCTTAACCATTAAATTTAACTGGTGTTACACAAAAGAATAAAAGAATTTTAAGCAGATTTTTCTGAGAAACCATAATTGTAAGGTTCCTTTTATTTTCACGGGCAGATCAGGATTGTTATCAAAGACCTTTTTAAGCCCATTTCGTTTGCCATTTTCTACCATGCCCATAGATAGAAAACCTCGGTGGTAAAACCCACCATAAACTGCACATGTTCTGTGCAATTCGGTATCATTTCTTCAAAAACAAGTATACTGTTCCGCGAAATGTGACGTAAGGTTTTAAACAAAAAATAATAATGTAAGAAAAAGTATAAGTTTTCATTTATTACCAATATTGAAAGAAGGCATGACCTTACGAGGATGCAAAGAATAGCGAAAAATGGCAAAAAATTGCATGAGAAGGATTCAAAAAGTACGTGCAAAAACCTTGCTTTTATGACTACTTCTAAGAGTTTCTTTTCTTGATTTTTCCGTTACCCATTGCTGAACTCCATTTCCGTTTGGCATTTCGCACGTCTTACACGGTTTATGGCTCAGTCAGGATAGTAAGGCTAATTTAGAAAAATAATGAGCAAAGAAAGGCTAGTAAACAACCATAAAAGAACAGAAGCAGGCAAGGAGTGAAAAAGGATTCCAAGGGGTAAGTGTAACAATCCCACTTTTATGACCCATTTTATTTTGTAGGCTAAACCTTTTAGCAAGTTTGTTGCCTGAGCCATTCGATAGGGTTCGGTAGAATAGTAAAGATAAGAAAGACCAGTTCAATTTATTTAATAGTTTTAAGTTTTCCAAAACCAAGGTATTTCTGTTACATTTTATCTATTTTATTAAATCGTTGAAAGGCATCTGAAATTAAAAAGGATGTAGAAGACTAAATATAACCTAGATGGCTTAACATCTCGAGGTACGAGGAACAATCCCACTTTTATGGCCCACTCTATTTCGTTCGTAAACCCTTTTAGCAAGTTCGTTTCTTAAGTCTTTCGTTCATTTTCCCGCTTCCGTTATACGCGAATGTTTGAAAACAGTTAGCAACGCCGAGCTGAGGGGAGGGTAAAACCCACCCAACCTACGGTTGCACATGTCCTGAGCAATAACAAAAAATTCCCAGGAATCAAGGATGGCTAATCCTGTCGTGACCCTGCAGCCCACGTATTTGGCCAAAATGGTTCGGTTTTAGGTAGCATTTTTGCGGCGAATTCGCAGTACCGGCTATGATTACCGAGCCGTCTTTTCGGCCGAATTCAACGGCGGCGAATAGCGATCGGTATGCCGGTTCGCTACCGACCGATAAACTCAAATAGAGACCCAAGAAATCGGAAGCTTTGGGGGCTTCAGTATGCCTTCGACTGTGGCGCTCTCCGGATCCAGATCTTGTATCTCCCTTCTTAACTGAGTCTTACGGTGGCTTACGTTTTGCTGACACTTACGTCCTACGTCGCGCGCTCAAGACGTTAAGAGGCTGCGGCGAACCCGAACTCTAGACAAGTGTATGTATCGAATCCACTGGGTTTTAGTGAGTTAGTGAGTGAGAAAGCCGTTAAGAAGTCTGCGAAGAGAGGAGAAGGCCTGAGACTCGCATAAGCCATAGGAAAATCTGTAAAACGGGCACGTTGAGCTGTTTCAATTCCCTCGCCAGTCTTACGTTTCTACCTATTGCCGATCGGCTATATCTCTCTACTTACCTCTACCTTCTTTTCGGTCTTCTGTTTTTCTGGCCCGCTCTTCGCCTTTTTCTTACCTTTTTTGCTGTCGTGTCTTGTGGTCTTTTGGTCTTACGGACCTGAGTGTGTGTGCTGTGTGGACTGGGACTTCAGGTGCAGTAAGCCGCGTTGATTTTGCTGAACAAGTTTCAGTCTGAGTTTGGCCTTCGTGTGTTACAGTACATGGTACAGTAAACGCTCCCCGGATCTTGAGATCGCATTCAGATCTCTTTGTGTCCTATAACAATAAGTGCTGTGAATGTATTTGCCTCGAAACTGGATTTTATTCGATTGTTTTGTGTTTGATGTTGTGCCTATGTGTTTGTTTGTTGGCTAGCGAAAAAAGGATTGCTGTGCATTTTAATGGAGGCGCGTGCTTGGATCGTGTGTGCCTCATGAGGAAACTGACCATTAAATAAAAGGAATTTTAAACTTAAAAAAAAAAGTGGAATGGATTAACAGCAACATTGGGGACTAACCTACAAAACATGTGAAAAACTAAATAACAATGAACGCAAGAGTGGAGGAAATATCACCATTTAATTCATGCATTTCTCAAGCAGTTTTATAAAATCATAAAAATATATATATTTAAAAAAAGAAAGTCTCTAATGCTTTTATGTTGTTTTTAACCAACAAAGTTAGTTGAACTTCTGGTATAATTTGTTCTTGGCATTTTCTTTGCTTCTTTTTATTGTGAGCCGTTCGGTTTTTACCAGTCCATTAACTTGTCTGTGCCTTTTGCACTTTACTTGGCTAACTGACATTAGACTGCCTGTGTGAGTAAGTAGTCCATCTATAGGGAGTAATATACTCGGGTACTCACTTCACATGCCAGCTGCGCATTTACGCTCCCATTAACCGGGTAGAAATAACAAACATACGGGAAAATGTAGCAACAAGTGGTGGCAGAAACTGGCCAACAAGTGTTTTGCGCAATGGCCAAAAGAAATTACCAAAAAAATGAAAATAGTTCGGGCTAAGGGTTAAAATTGGACCAGAACTTCTTGCCAGCTGGAGTTCGGTTACTTACAAAAAGTTTGTTTCCAAAGTCATTTGTTTGCATTTTCAATCTCAGAACAAGAATTCTTTTAGGCCTGTTCTCACCCGGTTTTCACCTAATTATCATAAATATTTCTTCGAACATTTTGGTGAGCTCAAAACCAAAATGTTCCCAACGCATTTCGAAGACGTGATCCGACTTGTGACGAGAATTCTTGGGTTAACTTGTTTCGAATCTCTTTAACGGCATGCATAATTAAGCAGACCCAACCCCATTAGACAAACTATAGATAGTCTAGCCGACCAGAACATAAATTACATTTATGTGACGCGTTTTCATTTTTCTTAGCTTTTATTTTTAAACTATTATTCTACTTGAATATCTCCCTGCAGTGCAACACTGGCCTTGTGCATTAAAAAGTATAAATAACTATAAAGAAAATAAGAGCACCAAAGAGTTGCCATAAAAAAACCGACACCGCCGTTGTCGGGAAAGGGAAAAAACCGTCGTTGTTGTCGCTTTTGTTGACCTCAAGGATAACCAGCTGACATGCCACATAAATTGGAATACTAAACATTCGCGAACGATAAATATCGAACCCATATAGTGGTTATATACACGACAACAGCTGCATTTATAAGAGGTGAGTTGCATATTGAAATGGCTGCGAATAAGCCGGAAAAGAGTGGAACAGTAAAAAAGTAGTCATCGGTTGATTAGAGATTATACAAAGTCTATGGGAGCATATTATAGATGACGTTATGTTCTTCTGCTTTTAAGCTGACATCATTACATTCCGTCACAAAAAAATACCTTCCAACTATCAATCAACGCGCAATAATGAAGTAAAAACCAATTTCCAGACACGCCTCATTTTGACATCAGTCATTGCGCAAATATTCGATTATACATTTTGTATATCCACATATATAGCAATAAACAATGCCATGCTTTCGTTTTATCCAACGATTTACAATTAAACTTCGCTTTAATTGTGTTTAAATAATTGATTGACTTCACTGATTGAGCAAGCAATTGCTGTATCGATTGTGGTTGTGGTACAGGCCATATAAAGACTTCGATATAGATTCCCACTTAGCCATAAAAAGTAGCACACACCAACAATAAGAACAATTTCTTTTACTTTCTATTAAACAAAACCCTAAAAAGCTTCGATTGTCTGTCGGCCGTGTCTGACTCGCCTTTGTTGTCACATTCATTCAATAAAGGCCAAGTCGAGTTCCCGAATACCCGTATCCCCCCCAATAACTCCATCGAAAAGACGAAAAGCGAGAGCTACCCAAACAGTTAACCTCAATTTCAAGACGCACTCGGAGTGCTGTTGTTGTTGCTTAATAACAAACCATAGAAGTAGTAAAGAAATTTCACTAAACTCAAAGTGAAAAGCAGAACAAATGACGTACAAGACTAGGGCCGCAAAAAAACCTCTCATCACATCTGTAAACAACCCACAAGAATGCTGTGTTTGCTCTTTATTTCGTGG